ACCTTCTTTCCCATCTCAGCTGAGGCAGACACAGCCAGCTACAGAGAGCCAGGGGAGAGGAAGGAATACGTGACAGGAGTTGCTGTGCTGCTACAGCCAACTATCTCCATGCTCTCTAAAAGAGCTGGAGTTGCAGGCCCTGTCTAACACCTGGGAGCAACTCGATTTCCCTTTGAGCATCACCTTTTTGCAAAATCATGTCCAGAAGCCAATATAGTTCATAAGGCATTTGAGATCCTTTGGAAAGAAAGCTCGTGCAGTACTCGTTATCACTGAAGACACCCTTTCTGGTGATCTAAACCTGAGGGGCTTAATGACTCAAAACTAATCTTTAAGCTCTTTCTTACTGCCTTGCTACCTAAATTTTATTGGTTACCTTCCCGGACTTAGTATACCATTTACGTGTTATGTAAAACTATGTCAGTAAAGCTTTATGCTATTTCATATCCATCTTTTCTCCTGCATATATATATATCAAAAGGTTAAAATAGGTTTCTAAAATAAAATATAATTAATTTCCTCTGTGAGAACATATTGCCTTGTATTTGGTAGACCTCAGATATACTGTATTTTGTGAATTTCTTTATGATGAAAAATAAGATTGCCACCAGGTACATTAACTTTTGCTCATGCCTGCTAAATTAATTTCATCCAACATTATTCACACAGGACAGATTAATCACAAATTAAATCCGTCCTTTAATTATATATCAGTACAATAATTTTTTTCCAATAATTAACATTTCTGTATGCTGAATTTGCAAGTTTCAGCAATGATAGTCATCTGCAGGAGAAAAAGCAAAGGTAATGGGTAGTATATTAAACTGCCTGAATTGCTTCTTTCTAGAGTGTAATGAGTGAGATTTACTAATCACTCAATTTTACAAAGGATTTTTTTTTCCTTTTTCTTGAATCTTGATAATGACAGAGGCTTCTGTCACATAGGATGCTTCAGGGTGTGACTGAGTTTAGCTATTACTGGAAGAAAGCGACAATCTCTGCCTGGATCTCATGTTTGTTTTTTTCTCTATTTTTTTTTATTGTTGTGTTATTATTGTACATTAATCTGACTGTCACATATATTTAGAGTCACCTAATGTTTTTAAGTATAAAACCCTCTTATTCTACATTTTAAAAATTATCACTCTACAGAACTCAATTATTCAAGATAAAAATTTTCATATTAGTGCTTTGCCTCAGGCTGACTTTTTTAAAGCTTTAGATAAAACAGCCTTTTTAGAGAAGATTAGCTCAAAGTAGACAACTCTATCAGATTTATAATGACTGTCCTACCAATTTTTTTGAAAGAGCCTTGAAGTACTAACAAGTGACTTCTGAAACATCTCCTTATTTCCTGTCAAAAACCCCATCTTTTTAAGCAGAATCACAGGATTTTCAGATTCTTAGCATATATTTCATAGAGATGTTACAAGCTTTCTGTTCTGATCATAATCCTATCCCTCAATACTCCCTCATTACCAACATGTTCCTCGATCTACAATGAAAGTTTTCTGTAAGATCTATGAGTCAGGCAGGACTGGCCAAACCTCGACACCCTTAACTCAAGAGCCGCTGTGTTGTTCTGGCTGCCAGAAAAGACCTTAACATTTTGTCTCAGCTGCTGATACATTTTAGTATTTCTTACCATTTTTTAGCTCTTATTACTCAATAAATCCTCCTTATCAAGCTTAAAAATCACATCAGACTGACTTCCACAGAATGACTTCCACACCATTTTACATATAAAGTAACAAGGAGTTGCAAAGTCAAATGACAGGACACAAAAAGATGTGGCAGATAGATGCTTTGCCATGCATCCACATGCTTTTCAAAATGCATGTGTTGAATCTATAAGTTTGGCTAAACACAAGTTTCTCCTGTCCAGCCAAAGACAATCTCAGCAAGAGCAATGAAGGTTAGCTCCGATCCTTTAGTTTCAAAACTCTGCTGTCAAGCCAAGGCCTCCACAGGCGCTTGGAGGTCAACTTTCAGCAAATTTTGCCATCAGCTTGAAAACCAAGGGTGACTGATTTGCAGTAGAATATATAGCAGGAAAAGATGCTGTTCTCCCGAACAGTTTCTTTAATGTAACCAGCCAGAAGTGAGGTCTGCAATAAAACTGTGAGTGCTTCCCGCTTGTGCCCTATAGGGACCACAGCATGGAGCAGAGGGGCAACAATTGCAGCTGGAGAAGAAGGGAGGGAAGAACCCTAAGGCGCTAGAAGACTGAGTGACATATGTCCATGTGTATCTCCATGCCCAGGGATGGTCAATGCAGAGAGTAAAAGCCTATCAATTTATGTCAATGACTTCATCAACTGAGATGTTTCAGAGATGAAGATTGTAGGTTGATAGCCTATAGATGATCATAGCAGGGTTTGGGTTGGTTTGTTTTTTAATTTGCCTTTTTAAAGCAAACATCTGCAATAATTTTACAGGTTATCGTATAGGTGCTATCCAGGTGGATCCCATTCCACCATCTTCCTTTGCCATACAAAATGTATACCACTGTAACGGGCTTTTCGTAAAGTGTAAACAGAGGATAAACTTTAACAGTGGCATCTCTTATAGGTGTTTTGAATCCTAGCTTATGTGGCTTAACACTCAAATATCTCTGAATCAAATTGATCAGTGGCATTATACATATTTAACAGATCTAGTTTTGCTCCCATAAATATTTATCTTAATTCCTATCTCATTGAATTATTGAAGTTTTCACTGCACTGAGTGTGAATACATATTTTTTTAATGGAAAAATATGGGATCATTGCATTAAAACTGAATACATCTGGAAACATGTAATAAGAGAAAAAGGGTAAGGCGTTGCTACCTTTTAGTCATATCCTACATATATGCAAGCATATCACTATTTTGCACTATCCTTGCTGCTTATGTCCATTTCCATAAACTGTAAATTACAAACCCCAAAATGTCTATGGAAGAAATTTTTCCATCAGTCATGCAATCAGCGGCTTCCTTTGGTTCCCTCCTCATGCCCACACGCTCAAGGGTGAACTCCTGATCACAGCCCTGAACGTGGTGCCAGCTGTACGCCTGCCATTCCTGACCTGTCAGTCAGAGCCAGTCAGCCAGGCATCCGCTGGGTCTGACTTAGCATGCCCTTCGCATACTTGCTTAACATTTTAAGCTCCAATTAGTTGCAATTTATGTCCTGTGTCACCCTGTTAATTCACCCTAATACCTGAGATGACCTTTTTGACAGCCAAAACTTTCAAATTAGCAAGCAAGACCAAGCAAGAAAAGTGCCATGGTTCTGAACAATATGAAAACTTTGTTGGCAAATGTAATTTGTGTTTGAATAATTAAATTTGTGTCAGTCAGAAATCTGGAAATACTTCCATGTTTTCAAAACATGCATAGTTTCTCCATGGTGTGAACTTTAGAGTGGTTCCTTACTCTGGAAACCTTCTTGAGAACAGTGGAAGCTGTTGACTCTGCCTTAACAGACTCACAGGTTAATTAATTTGTATTGTATTGTCAGAGGGCCTATTTGTAGCAGCATTTCTGTAATACTATGTGCAGTGTGAGGATAAGTATTTCGTGTTTATGTTTAATTTGTAATATTTATGTTAAAATTCCATTTTTATTTTAAATATTTAAATTTATGTTCAAAATGCAAACAAAGTTTTAAAATTTCCCATTTATGTTTAAATTTTATTTATATTTAATACCTTCATCCACTTTCTCTGCCCAAAAGCAAAATATCTAGAAATATTTGAAAATCTCAATTGCAAGCTGATAGTAGGCAATTAGAATGGCACCTCAGTAAAATGTCTTTGAATGGTAAGTAAATTGAAGACGGATACTAAAGACATCTTCATATATTCAAAGAGTAAAATCACTTCTGCTTAACTGCAGATCACATCTGATAGCCAGTTTTAATGCCTTTCCAGAAAATAAGGTGAAACAGGAAAAGTTTCCCTGCAACTGTGTAAACTGCCTATTATTATTATTGTTTGTTTTTTTTTTTTAATTAGAATTTGAGTATAAAATTAGCATGAAATTTAATCTTTTCAAACACCTTTAATGACTCTCAGCAGAGCATACACCTAACTAACTACAGGCACAGCTTACATCAAGTTTAGGCAAACTGCAATCTTTACATAGTTGAAATCATGATACTGACGGTTCCATTATTTTAATGAAAACCTCCCAGATCATTCTGTACTTCACCTTTTAGATACTACTTTTTAAAAAAGAAAAATGCAGACCACTGTTATAAAAAGCCATGGTGAGGAACACAAAAGCCGACAGAAAGTATGCAGTTTAGGATTGTAGTATCTGGGTCAAATAGCAACAAAGAATAGCAAAGATTAAGGATTAAAAATTGCCTAAGAAGTATGAATGATGATGTGAAAATAGTCACGATTATAACAATTGTATGTTTATATAGCAAAAGTTTGATTCTTGTGCATTAGCACAATAAAGGCTTCACTTCTTTATCTCTGGCTTTGAAGAGATGAGGAAAGATGAGTAAACTGTCAGTTTGAATTAATGTTTTGTCATGAATATTTATAGCCCACAGAAAACAATTGTATAACTCCTTAGGATTGAGCTAATTCATTATAAATCACATTCTAAATGTATTAACATAATTCTTTTACAGAAACTTTGGCTTTCAAAAAATCAATATCAAAATATTTGGGTTATAATAAATGCAACAGAAGAAACATTTCTAAACCCATTGAGTAACTATGGGAGGTTTCCTTCAATTTGTTCCACTTACTGAGTCTACCCTCAAGGCTATTTCTTTTTAAGTCTGGATATATGATGCTTCTTTTGTTTCAAGTTTCAAAATGAAAACTATAAATTCTTACTAAAAGAAAACCATGACCTAACACACCTACATCACTTAGAACGACATGCATGCAGTGAAGGCATTGATAGGTTTGAAGAGAGTTTCTAAATCCCAGAGCATTTAGTCTCACTTTTTTAACCAAAGAATACTTATAATTAAAAAAAAAAAAAACAAACAATCATTTGTAGGTTGCAAGTCCCAGATCTTGTTTATTTATAAAGCAATAAATATTAGAAGCACAAATAAATTGCACGGGTGTGTAAACAAACTGTACAATGACTGAAGAGTTCAGGAAGGGTTGCCAGAAGACTCCAAGAAGCATATTGTCGTCATCCTGAGTGGGAAGTAAATTGAGGGAAAAGTGCTTAGAAGCACTTGCGGTGGACGATGGATGGCCCAGCTTCATCATACTCCTGTTTACTGATCCACATTTGCTGGAAGGTGGACAGAGATGCTAGAATGGAGCCACCAATCCAGACAGAGTACTTGCGCTCAGGTGGGGCAATGATCTAGGATAAAGAAAAGCAACAAAATCCTCATTTAACAGTTACATTTCTGAACAACCAACCCACATCACCACTGTAAAAAGCCCACTAGATATCTTCTTAAGTAAATAAAGAACTTTTCTATAATAACAGCATTGATCTTCAGCAGCTGGTACAATAGATGTAATATTCCTTAAGAAAATCTATAATCATATTTTCCTCCTTTCTAACACTTGCTTCTAATCACATAATTATGCTGATTAAATGGAATTTCTTCTCGTTTGTCCATAGGCTGTGTATCTCACTTTTGAGTTGTTCCTATATCCTAGTTTAATGATGTGGACCTTTTTCCCATCCTTACGCACACTTTATAGTACAGAGCCAAATTCCTCACCTTGATCTTCATAGTGCTAGGAGCAAGTGCAGTGATTTCCTTCTGCATGCGATCAGCGATGCCAGGGTACATCGTCGTTCCACCTGAGAGGACGTTGTTAGCATACAGGTCTTTACGAATATCAATATCACACTTCATGATACTGTTGTAGGTAGTTTCGTGAATACCAGCAGATTCCATACCTTGAGGAGAAAGAAGTAGATCAGTAAATTATACAAGAAGTCTTTGCGAAGAGAACTCTCAGCATTTCTCCTCATCAATGATATGAACTGCTATGACATTTTTGTTGTAAAATTACTTACTGATTATTAAATGCTATAGAAAAACACAAAAATCCCCCACCAGAATTACAGAACTAGCTAAGAAAATAAAAATTATTTGTTAGAAAGGGTAAGAATCATAATGTATGTACAAAGGAAAGATACTCAAAATATACAGTAAGAAAAGAGGTAGACACACAAGATAAACTCATTTAGTATATGGCAATTGGAGAAAGTGATATAGAATAGAAACATGTATTAGGTTATGTCAGAGTCTCAAAACATCACTAGCTGAATATAGAAAAGACAGCAATAAAGACAACGAAAGCAGCTGAAGCAGAACTAAAGAAGACAATAGTAACCTCATTTATTTTTCAGCCTACTGAAAAGATAGTCTATACCATTCACAAACATCAAGGCAAGACGTAACCAAGGTATGGACCAAGATATTAGTACTTGGTGGTAAGGAAAAATAAACCAGAAGCAAGTGTCTGTAGGTTGCATTCCAATTTATTCATTTTAACAGGTGCTTCCTGAAAGGGCTGACACCAGATCCACAATAAGATGTCAGCTGATGAACAACTGCATTTATTGCTGAGGACTTAGAGTCTAAGCATTTGCTATATCTGTCAGCTGCACTCACAAACAGCCAAGCTTACCTTCTTGACCATGGCAATGTTTAATTACAGTGCATATACATATACACATACCTTCATTCCATTTTTTCCCCCTCCCAGACAATTTACTTCATGGAGTCAGATCCTGTTGTAAGTGTAAGCCTTACAAATACAGCACGGCAAGTTATTCTTGCCGTCAATGACATGATGATATTCTAACAGTATATTTTGTCACCAAAAAATTCTGACCCTAAAACCTGACCTAAAACTTGCAAGAAGAGCCTGAAGCTCAGCTAATTACCAGTTGAGATCACATTAAGCACAGTTACAGGGCCTGAGGATCTAATTCATTATTTATGTTTGATTTTGTGCCAAATTTAGATAAGCAGGAAGGGGAGTGGGACACCTTCTAGATCATCTGATTCATTCATACCTCCTACAGAAAAGAGAATTTCCTGGGAATACTTACCAATAAAGGATGGCTGGAATAATGTTTCAGGGCAGCGGAAACGTTCATTACCAATCGTAATCACTTGACCATCGGGCAATTCATAGCTCTTTTCCAAAGAGGAAGAAGAGGCAGCAGTGGCCATTTCATTCTCAAAGTCCAGTGCAACATAGCACAATTTCTCTTTGATATCACGAACAATCTCACGTTCAGCTGCAGATATATGGGAATCATATCAAAGTTTGGATAAGCAAAATACTAGAGGAAGAACATGGGCCAAGAGAGACATGAGGATTTTCACAGGAGGGCAAAGCTGAAGGACTGACCTGTTGTCACAAAGGAATAGCCACGCTCCGTGAGGATCTTCATGAGGTAGTCAGTCAGATCCCTGCCAGCCAGATCCAGACGCATGATAGCGTGAGGCAAAGCATAACCTTCATAAATAGGTACGTTGTGGGTGACACCATCTCCAGAGTCAAGAACAATACCTGGGAGAGAAACGTTGGAGAGCAGCTGGAATCACCTAGCAAATGCTTAGAGCCCTTAGCCACAGTAAGCAACACCAAACACAACAAGATATAGGATCTTTCAGGCAGTACAATGTATCATTGTTCTATTTTAGCCATAAAGATCTTGCTCGTTCCTCCTACCTTTGCTTTCCTGGACATTCCTGTTTGGTGAGAACCTTCCCATAAAACAGTTGTCCTGTACCTATTTTAAGCTAATCCATACAAGCAGCCTTCCACTACTACTACACTGAGCAGTAAGTATATTTGCAATAGTGATTGTCCTGACCCAATAATGGGCATCTTTTGGGTGAGTTTAAACCCTTAAACTGGTGAAATACTTGTGTGACTGCAGTATCGTCACAGGAACGTCATCTCGTTTGCGTTATGACAAGCACCAGGAGAGTCAGTTCCACAGTGCCCCTCTGAAAGCAATGCAGGCAAGTCCACATTGATCTTTCCACACACTATTTTGTCCTGGCTTTCCCGCTACTGTTGTCATCAATCACTATAAACTAAAAATACCTAGCTTTCTGTAAATTTGAATGAGGTTTTTTTTTTCCTGTTTGGAGTGAGAAGGAAGAAGGGTTCCTGATAAATAGTGTTTATTTTTTTATTTTACCTGTTGTACGACCAGAGGCATACAGGGACAGGACAGCCTGGATCGCCACATACATAGCAGGCACGTTGAAGGTCTCAAACATTATCTGGGTCATCTTCTCACGGTTAGCTTTAGGGTTCAAAGGGGCTTCTGTGAGCAAGGTAGGGTGTTCCTCAGGGGCCACACGGAGTTCATTGTAGAAAGTGTGGTGCCAGATCTTTTCCATATCATCCCAGTTGGTGATGATGCCATGTTCAATGGGATATTTCAAAGTAAGGATACCTCTTTTGCTCTGAGCTTCATCACCCACATAGGAATCTTTTTGACCCATACCGACCATAACACCCTAAGAGAAGAAAATACAGAAAAGCATTATTTGAGGAAGACAACATTGCAGAGCCCAAACAATTACACCACAGACAACTATGCTGTTTTCAAGAAAGGTCACACCACTAAAACGTTGTTTAGGAAAATAAATTAGCATTATTGAAATATTAAGTCAACAGAACTTAAGAAGAAAAATAAGAAACTGAGTTTTCTCATAAAATCCTTTTTCCTTTAATCAGATGAAAGGATTCCCTCCCCCCCTTTTTTTAATACACCTTTTATTTTCAATTACTTCTTTCTGGTCCAAAAGTTTGACTGAAAATAAACTTTGCAATATTGTTGCAATATTGTGAGCAGGAAACGATACAAAGACACGTGCAAAGAGAGTTTATAAACAAGCAGATATGGAGACAAATAAGCCTTCTACTGAAGGAATATACTGCCAAAATGACTATTGGCATGGTGCCTCAGCAGTAATGGATTTGCAATAACAATATACAAACTGCAAATGTTTTGGGTTTTTTTTTAAAAAGTCTTACAAACTTTTTACCAAGAAAATTGTAGGAGAAAAAGTACTGTATTTTCTGTGTGCTGTTTGAATTGTGACAAAAGAGAAGGAGAATGACATGGGAACAGAGAAAACGAGGCTGACAGCAGTAAGAAGGTAAGATTAGAGACAGACAGAAGTAGAGGAAATTGAAAGGTGTTTGGTATGTGAAATATTGGACAGGATGAGTGAGAAGGGTCTTAAACAAACTGCACTGTGCACAAATTCGGCCAGTGGAGATGCCTTTGAACTAGCACCAGCAGCAGATCTGGCCTAGGGGATGGAGTGGGCAGCAGCTTTGTAGGAAGCTGGATTTGGGCTCATCAGGAGAAAGATCAGGGAGAGAGTCAAGACAAAAGCTGGTGAATTAGAAATAGCTGGGAGAAAGGAGATAAGGGACAGTCAGACAGGGTTGTTGAGGGAAGCACTGGAAAGAACTGGAAAGGCATCGCTAGTGCCACCGCAAGAAGCGAGCAGAGGGAAGGACAGAGTGTTTGGGACAGGACAGAAGAACTAAGGAGGGAAGAGGCGAGTGGAGGCGACTTCGGGAGAGGGGGGGA